TTTTAACACAAACACCACTTTTTACTTTTTCTTACTCAGTCTAAGTGTCTTTAGGCTTGTGGGATTGTTAGAGTAGGTGGTTAGTTAGGTTCTAACAGGATCCCAGGAGTCCAGCACTGAGGAAGTCATGGCCAGCTACTGGAAAAGTCAGAGGCTCCTCCTGGCAGCACTCCACAAGAAGACAGATCTAACCAGACAAGCCCAAGATGGTGGATGCCATGACAAGGAACCCCTGACCAAATTAGGAAGAAAAACTGTGAAACACTGCTTCCCACCCCAAGTAATAAATATTTTGCCTCTTGGTTAATAACGGTCACTAAAAGATAGAAACCGAAACCCTCATGGCACGCATTGTTCTTGCTATCATTCTTGCTCTCATATCGCCACAGGGTACTTTTCACTTTAATAAACTCCCCCGCTTCTGTTACTCATCTGCTGTGCTGCCTGTCTTTGAATTCCTTCTCGTGCCAAGACCGAGAACCTTGTGTAACTCCTTCAGTTCTGGCTGGGTCATTGGCTCAGGAACCAGGGTCTCTCCCATTCACCCAGCAACAAGATGGCCTTAGTCTTAAAGGAAAAGTAGGAGTATAAAACAATGACATTTAGTGTTTCCCATTCTCCCCCAAGAAAAATCTCAAAAACCCACTTCTCCCAAGAAAAACCCAACAGTTTTAGAGTTGTAACTGTAGATTAAATTGAGAGAAGGTGGCATGTGGAGACTAAATAATGAAGGATTAGATGAACCATCTGTTTTACAGAGGAACTCTGAGGTTGGTTTGATTAGCATCTTTCGTTTCAAGTTCTTGCTTCCAATTCTGATTCTAACCAGCAATATTTTACTATTTTAAACCCGTGGAGCTCCTTGTTATTGCTGTTGTAATTGCTATATTAATAGGCAGCTAAGGTTGAAACGGTGACTATAATGGACTTCTTTATAGTAGAGCGAATATGTTATTGTGTGGTACTGAATGGAAGCATAACCTATGAATGCCACCAAGACGTCATTCTGTGGATGACAGGCCCTGGTAATGTAACAAGCAACAACTAAGGAAATGCTTTCTAAAATCCAACCATGACGAAAGTGCTTAGCTATTTTTCATGCCTAACTAATTCCACGTGTGGAGCCTTTACCAAGCAAGGGTAGGAAGTAGAAGTTGGTAGATGAGTGACACCATATGCTGAGAGAGAAGAATTACAGGCTTGAATTCTCACTTCTCTAGTTAATAAGTTCAGAGGTAATTTTATATAGTATTTACATTTCTGCCTGTGGGGAAAAAAGGCCTTCCAATTTCCATAGGTAAATATGGGCTATATATCATGCTCTATAGCTTTTTAAGAACTCTGAAGGGTTTGAAACTTTACCCTATTTGCCTACTACAGTCCCATGAATGCTAGTAGAAGCCAACAAACTACTAGGTCAGAGGTAAAGGGTAATTTATTACTTACAGCTGTAGCAGCGGTGTATCAGCATTTTTGTGTCCGTTCACTGAGCCCTAATTCCCACAGCATGATGCGAAGAAGGCCAAATGACATCTGCATACACACTGGGTTACATTACAGGAAAAAAATAGTGAGCTTAGGAAACCCAAATCTTTACTAATGGGTGGTAAGAATGTCTGCCCTTTAAGCAAAGCTCAAAGGGAGACTGTTTTTTTTTTTTTTCTTTCTAAAGGTTTTCATTTATTTGAGAGAGTGCAAGAGAGTGAGAGCATGAGTAGGGTGAGGGGCAGAGGGAGAGAAGCAGACTCCTCACTGAGCAGGGAGCCGGATGTGGGACTCAATCTTGTGACTCTGGGATCATGACCTGAGCCAATGCCAGAGGCTTAACCACAGAGCTGCCCAGGAGACTGACTGCTAAGGCTCTAAGCAAACCTGCCCTTTGCTCTAGAAGTGCACACTATCTGTATTGTCCAAGGTTGTTTCCTACCCAAAGGAACAAGGGCAGAGAGTATCCCCCTTAAAAGATAAGCAGAAACATGGCCAAGTGTCTTCCAACATGGCAAAGTATAACTTTAATGATTTTTTTTTATTAACTAGCACTCCTCTGCAATATCAAAGTTACAAGTGAACTGCAAGATACCATGTAATTTCATAAAGACTGCACATTATTTTTTGCTGTGTAGCATTACCAAAAACCTAGTGGTAATAGATGTTAATTATCTTGGTTTTTATAGTTAGGAATCTAGGGCGCCTGGGTGGCTCAGTGGGTTAAGCCGCTGCCTTCGGCTCAGGTCATGATCTCAGGGTCCTGGGATCGAGTCCCGTGTCGGGCTCTCTGCTCAGCAGGGAGCCTGGTTGTCTCTCTCTCTCTCTCTCTCTCTGCCTGCCTCTCCGTCTGCTTGTGATCTCTCTCTGTCAAATAAATAAAATCTTAAAAAAAAAAAAGAAAAAAAAATTTATAGTTAGGAATCTAGGCATGGCTTAAGTAGCTCCTCCAGGGTCTCAGACTGCAATGAAGATATTGGGTGAGACTGTGATCTTATCTAAGGTTCTAATGAGGAAGGATATGCTTTTCATCTCACTCGGGTTTTTGGCAGAGTTCAGTTTCTGGAGTGGCAGGATTGAAGGTTTTGGTTTCTTGCTGTGGGTTGGAGGTTGCCCTCAGCTTCAAGAGGCTCCATTCCTTGATATGTGGGATTCCCCAACATGGCCACTTGCTTCCTTCAAGCAAGGGAGAGAGTAAGCAACTCCAGTAAAATAGATTGTACTGTCTACATAAGACAATCACATAGTCACATATATATCATCACATTTGATGTATTCTATTGCTTAATGTCTTCCACTGTATTTATGGAAGAGGCTGGTTGTTGGCTACTGAAGATAATTTATGTGATTCAGTGAGGAGAAGTCTTTCTAAGGGGGGGATATTTTAGCTGAGAACTCAAATTATGAGGAGTCAGCAGTGAGATGGGCGACAGGGATGAGGAACATTCTGGGAAGAAGGGACAGAAAATGGGAAATGTAGCTATGCCCACAGACAGAAAAATATTATTATACCATTAAACATTGTATTTTGTTTCTGTGTCTGTTTTCTCCATCATTCAGTAAGCTATACAAATTATCTCAGAATCTTCAACACCTATTTTATAGTAGGTAGTAAATTTGTTTAATAAATGGATGGATTTTTCATTTACGAATCATTTTATTAAGTTTTCATTTATCAGGAACTGCAGAGATACAAAATAATCATGTGAAGGCCTGCATCCACAATGAACTCACAGTTGTGCAGAGCAGAGTTGCAAATAATTACTAACTCAAGGTGGTCCATGCTATTGGCACTACTATAGTTTTGGAAGAATGAAGCCTCACTCTTTTGGGGGGATTTGAGAAAACTACATGAAGTTAGCACTGATTCTTCAAGGATACCTAAATTAGTTGGGGTGCATAAATAAGAAAAGGCATATTAGGCAAAGGAATCAGCTTGAGCAGGGCTTGGGAGTGACAAAGCTTATGGCTGGTTTATAAGACCCCCAAGAAATTTAGGAGTAAACAAAACCAGGAGTATGTGTGGAAAGAGGGATAGTAGGCCTGTAGACTTATTTATTGTGTCAATGGATCACATCAAAAGGACAAAGAAGTCAACTCTAAGGTGTGCCACTAGCTTAACAGAATTTGAGTATCATAAATAATAACAATTGGTTAAAACACATCAGATACGTAAAATGTATGCATTCCTAGTGATACCAACCAAACAAAATCTTACTGGTTAATACTGGAGGTTGCTAAGGCACCAACTCATTTTTCTGAAATTTTACAATTAAAGGGAAAAACCACAGCATTTATGCAGTGTTTCTTCTAGGATCCCTCTATTTCAGGAAAACCAATGAGTTGGTGAAAAAAAAAATTTTTTTTTTTTTTAAAGATTCTTATTTGAGAGAGAGATGGCTAGAGAGAGAATAAGCAGGGTGGTTAGGGACAGAGGGAGAGGCAGACTTCCCATGTGGGGGCTCCATCCTGGACTCCAAGATAATGACCTGAGCTGAAGGCAGGAAGACCGACTGAGCCACCCAGGTGCCCTAGAAAGTTTGTTTTGTTTTGTTTTTTAATAGAAGAATCCCACATAATAACTAAATCATTGAAAGTGTTAAAAATCTACTGTTATAAGACTTAAGAACTATACCAAAATGCAATGTGAAGATTTTTGTTTTTTGATCTTTTGATAGGAAAAAAAAAGCATTAAATGACATTTTGGCTTTAACCAGGTTAATTTGAATATGTAGTGAGTATTAGATGACATGAAGGAATTACTAATTTTGTTAGATGTGAAATTAGGTGGTGAAGTTAAAAAATCCGTATCAGTTCGAGATGCACATTAATTTAAGGGTAAAATAATGTCTGGGATTTGTTTCAAAATACTCAAGGATAGAATTGGGGAAGGGATGAAATTAGATTGGCAAAATGTTGAGTGTTGATTCTTGGTGATGGGTACGTGAGGGTTATTAAAAGTGGATTCACTTTTGCCTGTTTACAATTTTCCTTAATAGTTTTAAAAAGCAGAACAAGCCCCGCAGAAAGGGGATGTCCGAAATGAAAGACCCCGACTATTCTAGAAGGTTCTAAGATTTCACAGGGATTTCCAAAAGTTGTGAACTGTAATTCCCAAATCGCTGCTGGATTTGAGCATTGGACTCTGGCTCTCGGGGACCAAACCCAGCGTAGGTGGTCGAGGGCTCACCTCAGTTTTGGGAGTGCTATGGGAAGGTAGGACGTCTTTCCCCAGCCCGGCGGCCTCCTCGCCTCAAGAATGCCCTCTTTTCAATCTTTCTTCCTCCAAGCCCCACTTGCCCTTCACTCCCCTACGCCTTTGGGTGCTTCTCTTTTCCCCGCCCCCAACCTTCCTCTCCAGCGCCTAGCCCCACCCATCCCTTTTTCCGACACTACCAGTCCTCTCCTACGCCAGGCCCACCCCTTCCGTTTCAAGGCCCACCCACGTATTCGCCCCGCCCTCCCTCTCATGCTCCTCGCCCCGCCCCTTATCTCGACGCTGAGGAGGAGGTTACCATAGCCACCGTGCACACAGCAGCAACGCGTCCCTAGTTGGTCCCCGGCTGGCCGGAGGGAAGAGGCGACAGCATGAGCCATGTGGTGACTATCGAGGAGCCCCAGGCCAACCTGCAGGTGTCTCAGACCCGGTGCGGGGTGAGGTCGAGGGCCTGGGGCAACGTCTCTTCCAGTCGACAGTATGATTTTCTGTACGGTAAGGGTGGCACCAGACTTCCCTCCTGAGTTACTGATTCCTGGGCTAGGTGGGCTTCGGGACGGTGGGACCGGGCCAGGAGCCCGGTGAGCGGAAGATGAGCCTCAGGTCAGATGCCTTGTCCGCGGTTATCCTTTGATGGGTGGGAGCAGCCCCGAGCTCCCAGGTGGCGGTGGTCTCCGTGCGCGTTGGGAACCCCAGGTGTGATCAGCGTGTCTGAGCACCGCGCCGGATCATCCGCCTTTACTGTTCGCCACGATCTTTTCCTGATAATTTTCACAGCCTTAAGCAATCTTTCTGAAACCTGTTCCCGCTGTTTTGTTATCCAGAAAAGTATGCAGTGATTTGCAGAGTTGGAGATTCACTCAAATCCCCACGGTGAAACTGCAGAAATGACCTTCCCGCTCCCATTCTCCGGGCAACTCAAAATTTGGCTTTGTATATAAAGAAGTAGCAGTTTATCTCACCTTTGTTTTTAGTTTTATCTTTTTAAAAAAACTTATTGTTACTCATCAAAGCATTGCTTATATAAACTATGTCCGCTGGATTCCTTTGGGTCAGTAAAGGCAGGCCCAGTTTGTTTCAGTACTATGCTTGTCCGTTAATGTTCTGTTTCTTTTACTGGATCTTTAAGTTCCTTGAGTTCTTTAGGTACTTGTTTTATACAGTTTTGCAGGCTTCTCATCATCAGTGTTGGTACATATGCGAGCTGCTTCACAAAAAACCTTACTGAATTTTGAATTTACTAGTATTAAGAATTTTAATCAGTTAAACATGATTTTTCTAATTTTGCCCTTATTGATCCCATGCTCTTCACCTGAACCTTGCATTGCTTTTAACCATGTGGTAGCTCCTCTAGGATTCCCAGGATCATCTTTGGATGGGTGTCCAGAGGTTACCCATTTCCTGGTATAGGGACTGTGTAATGGGTTGCTTGGGTATTATGGGCAGTGGTTTTCTTTATTCACTCTTGGTTTCATCTTGTAAAAATAAGTCTGGTAAACTGTAAAAACATCACGTTGGTTTCAAAGGTACTTTGGAAATTGGATAGACCTCTTCAGTAAAGACAGGCAAAGAATTTATCAAGCTTCTTGTCTCTTTTATCCTTAAAATTATTGCTTTCTCTCTCTTTTGCTCTTGCAGAGGGATTGCTAAATGTTTCCATGTTCCTTGCAAGGAACAGAAACCCACTCAAAACAGGCCAAATAAAGTTTGGATTGTTCCAATAAAACAGGGAGTCTCACGACTATTAATGGACAGGAAGCATAGTATAGCTAGGACAAAGTAGAACCAAGACAGGGAAGGTCAGAACTAAGTTGTGGTGCCCTTCTGCCTGATTTCTTGGACCTTATGGTTTTTTACCTTGTTTAGGTTGTCAGATTTAGCAAGGAAAAGTACAGGATGCACAGTTAAATATGAATTTGAAATAAGTAATGAATAATAGTTTAATATAAATTTTTAACCCCATGCAATATTTGGGATCTATTTATATGAAAAGTTATCCATTGCCTATATGAAATTTAACGGCGCATCCTGTATTTTAGCTATCAACTCTAACTTTTGCTTTTTTCTGTGTGTATGTTTCCTCTTCCATCTGACAGGAAGCCACTTCTTTATGGATTTCTCTTACTGTGATAGGGACTGGGGTGGCAGTCTACATGACCTCTTATCCTAAAGCTCATCACCAATTGTATAGAGACCTCATGTGTCTTAGCTGAAAATTGAAGAGAGAAATAAGATAGATTGTTGACAAGCCAGTGAATTGACTCACTTGGGTCCGATTTCCACCCTGACAGAACTGCGCTAGTGTTGGTGTGGTGGTCAGTGGTATACACGTGAATACCTTTCCAGCTTTTTCACGTTTCCCCTGTCCCCACCCCCCTCAAACCCAATGGCCTTTTCATCATAGTTAATTGTCTGCAAGGCTTTTGCTCATTAAAGGTATTATTTACTCTTCTGATCACTCTAGCAATTAAGATTGATTCAGATACCTTCCATTTTTTTGTATTTTAGACTTAACATCATTTTCTTAGTAGATTTTACCTCATTTATATACCATTTTGCATTTAACTCAGGTTTTTGGTAAATGCTTTGTGTCTCTCAAGTGCCTCTTGAAGTGACCAGTGTACATTGTCACTTTACTGAATCTGTACATTATTAGTAGTTTGACTACTGTCCTGATAATGAAAGCCTTTTAACTATATGATACAGTTTTTCTAGCTTCCAGAAATGTTTTAAAATGCTTTCTAGATATATCATAAGCTCTTTCCTCCTTTCTTTTTTCCCCCAGAATATGCAATTTAGTATACTTTTGCCTAAAAGTAATCCTTCTGTCTTGGGGTTTTACACACTTCTTCTCTCTCATGATTACTTGGTTGTGACAACTTCCTAGGCTTGCCAGAACAGTTTCTACAGTATGGTTAAATTGGCTGAGGGGCTTTCCCATGGTTTCTGTGAGAAACTTCCGCCCCTAAAATTCATGGGGTTTCAATAATATTAGGCCTGGGAGCCAGAAGGATTAGAGTTGAAATTCTAACTGTCAGTAAGTGGCTAACTTCTTGAAGCCTCAGTTTCCTCCCCTATAAAAAGGAGGCCTAGTGCCTACCTCATTGGCTTTTTGCAAGGATTAAATGGAGTATTGCACCTAAAGCACTTAATACCTGTCCAGGAATAAGCAAGTGATACCTGGTGAGTGCTATTACTTGGGCATCTCAGAGGTCTTTCTATTGCCTTTTGAGCACTGATTATGATCACAGTTGTGCGGTATGTTGCAGAATGTAGCCATAAATCCTACAGTATTATGCCATTATCTTCTATGGATGGCAGGAATGTTTCTATAGATCACATGTCTTTTTACTCCTTATGGGTAGAAGAGGAGAATGGTTTATAATTTATTATTCAGATTTAGGAGAAATGCAGCCTAAACTCATTTAAAATTAACAACACAGGTGGAACCAAAGACCCAGTGACATCTTTTAAATCACTTAAAGTAAGAGTATGAATAGAAATTTCCTTTTGGGGGCACCTGGGCGCCTCAGTCAGTTAAGTGTCTTCCTGCCATTCCCCCTGCTTATGCTTTCTCTCTCTGTGTCAAATAAATAAATAAATAAATAAATCTTTAAAAAAATTTCCCTTTGTCCCATACTATTCCTAATATATCAGATATGTTGAAGCTATAGCCAATTCCCCTTTAAACAGGTGCATTCATTCAACCTTCAGATTCACCAGCCTGTAATTTGGGGCCATAAAATCTGGGCTTGTCATTCCTAATCAGCTCAGTTTTCGTCACTTCTCAACTTGAATCATAGGTGTGGATTTGGGTGCTGCAGTTGAAGAAGAGTATATCTAAGGGTGATGGTTCCCAAATTCATATCACTGGTCCAGACTTCTCTCCCAAACTCTAGATTCTTATATCAAATTGCCTGCTTCATTTCTCCGCTTGGACATATAATAGATGCCTAAGGCATGCTTTTCATGTTCTCCCTACAAACCTGCTCCATCACAGGCTTTCCTGTGTCAATTGATACCAGTCCCATACTTTATTTTTGTATTATTATTTTTTTAATTATGTCATGTTAGTCACCATACAGTACATCATTAGTTTTTGATGTAGTGTTCCATGATTCATTGTTTGCATATAATACCCAGTGCTCCAAGGAATACGTGCCCCGCTTAATACCCTATCACTGGGCCAACCCATCCTTCCCCCACCCTGCCATCCAAAACCTTCAGTTTGTTTCCCAGAGTCCATAGTCTCTCATGGTTCATCTCCCCTTCTGGTTTCCCACCCTTTATTTTTCCCTTCCTTCTCCTAATGTCCTCCATGCTATTCCTTATATTCCACAAATAAGTGAAACCATATGATAATTGACTTTCTCTGCTTGACTTATTTCACTTAGCATAATCTCCTCCAGTTCCATCCATCCAGCCCAATACATTGATAAGTCTAAAAATCTTGGAGCCATCGTCTCTTCTCTCTCTCTCTGACACACACCATTCCAATCCACTAATAAGTCCTCTCTGTCCAACCTTAAAAATATATCTAGAATCCTGCCCCATTTTATAAGATCTCTTGCCATCAACATCATCTTTTCTCTAGGCTCACTGCATGAGCCTCCTAATAGGTCTCCCTGTCTTTTCCATTGTTTCCATGCTGTCTGTTCTTCATTGGGCAGCCACAATGAACATTTTATTATTTTTTTAAAGAATTTATTTATTTTAGAGAGAGAGCATATGAGTTAAGTGGGGGAGAGGTGTACAGAGGTAGAGGAGGAGAGTAGAGGGAAAGGGAGAGAATCCCAAGCAAACTCCACACTGAGTACAGAGCCCTATGTGGGGCTAAATTCCGCAACCCCAAGATCATGACCTGAGCTTAAACTTAACCAACTGGGCCACCCAGGAGCCCCTACAATGAACATTTTAAAATGTAAGTCAGATTTTGTCACATCTTGTTTCAAAATCTTACAATGGTTTCCCACCTAACTCAGATTAAAAGCCAAAGTCTTTTCAGTGGTCCACAAAGCCCCATGTGATCTAGGCCCCTGATAACTTGCCTGACCTTTTATCTACCCTATTTTGCCTCTCTCACTCTGTTTCAATTCTGTTGGTTTCTGCTGTTCTTCAAAAACATCAGGCATGCTGCCATCCTAGGGCCTTTGCTGTTTCCTCTGCTTCAAATGCTCTTCAGATAACTCTGTAGTTAACTTCCCACTTGCAAGTCTCCTTAAATGTCACCCTTTGGGGTGCCTGAGTGGCTCAGTGAGGTTAAGCATCTTCCTTTGGCTCAGGTCATGATTCCTGGGTCCTGGGACTGAGTCCCACATTGGGCTCCCTGCTCAGCGGGGAGCCTGCTTCTCCCTCTGCCTCTGCCGCTCTCCCTGCTTGTTCTCTCCCTCTCTCTCTCTCTCTGTCAAATAAATAAATAAACAAACAAACAAACAAATAAAATCATTAAAGAAAAAAAAGAAGTCATCCCTCAATGAGGCCTGGTATGCCCTGACTATTCTGTGTAAAATTGCAACCCAATCTCCCTTACCTGCTCTTTCCCCGCTTTTTTAGTAGCACTTAACTGTCCTCTAACATATTATATAATATGCCAATTTGTTGTGTTGTTTATTGTCTCTCATGAAGACAGGGATCTTTATCTTTTTCTTGATATGTTCCAGGCACGTTGAACATAGTAACCTGTCCATAAATCTTTCTTGAATGAAAGAGAGCTGAGCCTCTTGTAGTTTTTCAACCTTGGGGAGAATATTAAATGTCTGCATCCAATATATCATTTTTGTTTGGTAACTGAGGAGTTATTAGACTCTAGGAATTGACTCACATTATCTAAATTAAATTAAATTTCAATTACTTATAAATCACAATAACAATTATTAATTCCTGTGAAGAAATATGTTGCCAAGTCATATAGACTAGTTGGCCAGGGTATTTGTTTCTCAAGAGATACCTACTTGGGAAATCAAACCTCTGTCTGAAGGTTGCTTATGAATTTAATGTCATGTTATTTCATTTTAAGAAATGGTATAATAAATCATAAATATTATTCATTGCTTTAAAGATATACCTAACAAGCCCATACTTACAATAACAGGGCAACCTTTTTTGAACTTTGGAGAAAAAACTTTGTCCCATCATCAACATCCTTCTAAATTTAAGGAGTGAATTATAGCTGATTTTATTTATTTATTATTAGAGAATGACATTTTCTTATTATGTTTATCAATTCTGAGGTAACATGTTGTTAAGAGTTTGTATCTTTCCCTTGTACTGAATATGGGAGGTAGTGCTGCAGTGTGTTATTTCTTTCACTTGCAAAGGGGCGTAGTTAGTGTATATATCTTAGAGTATTTCTTGGGCCACCTAGACCCAGAAAGTGGTCTGGGTAAGAGAAAGCGGTCTGAGAGAAAAGGCGGCGTGTTTAGGCTCTGGTGCTTGAGAACATATCAGGCCTGCTTTTTGCCTTCTAATTCTATAACTTGACTTTGGAATACACAGAGGAGAAATGCATCTAACAGACTGTCACTGGTGACAGAGTAACAGGGCAATGAGCTGCTGTAGAGTTAGGCAATATCTAAATCTTGTAATTAGTTTTCCAATTAAGAAATTACATTTTTTTGCTATTATTCTCAGTCTAGATATATTCCATTCCTTATACCACCTTATTGTTTATTTTGCAGATCCATTGTTTATTGTGTCGAGTGAGAAAGACCATACACAGGCAACTATCCAAGCTAATCTGATTCGAAACAGACTGGTAGGTCTAATTCAATGACTAAGGCCACCTAATGAACATGAACCATCTAGTTTTGCTAACCACACTAATCAGACTGACTAATCATGAGATTTCCAGTGGATTTTATATTCTGCAGAAATCACTCTGCTATGATTACTAGGGGATAAGACATCTTGATACTTATGGCCCACTGTGAAGATTAATTAATTAATAGTGAATAAAGGACTCATTATAACCTAATTTATTTCAGTGGGAAAAGTTTATGTGCCTGTGTTAAAAGAATTCAAGTAGTACAGAAACATATATAGTATGAAATAAATTTTAACCCTCATCCCCATTCTTATAATCATCCATTGCCATCAGTTTCTTGGGTATCTTTCTAGAGATATTCTATTCATATACAATTACCCTTCTTTCTATGCGACATACACTGTTTTTGCACCTTTCAAAATTTATAATAATAAATAAAATGCTTTAGAAAATCTGATGGTGGGGCACCTGGGTGGCTCAGTGGGTTAAAGCCTCTGCCTTCAGCTCAGGTCATGGTCTCAGGGTCCTGGGATCGAGCCCCGCATTGGGCTCTCTGCTCAGTCTGGAGCCTGCTTCCCCCTCTCTCTCTGCCTGCCTCTCTGCCTACTTGTGATCTCTGTCTGTCAAATAAAAGAAAATTTTTAAGAAAATCTGATGGTAAGATTTTGTCCTTTTCCTCCCTATCTGCCTGTCCTAATATTAGAGAAAAGTTCCCAGGTTTAGAACCATGTTCAGTAACCTGATCCATTATCCAAGATATTCTCTGTATTGGAGCAAGGCAGACCCTGTCCCACCATTCATCCGCCGGGAATGGAAAGGACAGGAGGAGAAACACAGAGAAGCCCTCAGGCAGCTTACCACGTAAGTGTCAGGTAGCTTTGGCTGCTAATCATGTTTTTAATGAATGCGTTTTTCTTCTTAAGAATTTTTATTCTGCATTTTTTAAAACTACAATTGTGATGTTACACCCATGTCAATTGACCAAAAGAGACCTGATTCAGGGGCAAAGGTTATGGGATTATAGTTAGTAGATATTCTCAGAAGCTTAGAGTGAATATATATATTAAATGACAATTGACCACCGAAGGTAGAGGTAGAGGTGACTGAATTTGTTTCTTTGATCCATCTTAGAAATTGCAACTATACCCTTCTGCTAGTATCTAAATATATATATTTGGAGATTTGCAGCCAAAGCACCTTCAGAGACAAGTCTCTTGAATTCTTTATTCTTTTAATTATTTACAAATCATGCCTAGTAAGTTTAAAAAGCTACCTTTCAGCCTGGACATAAAAAGTTTCTCTTAGGGGTGCCTGGGTGTCTCAGTGGGTTAAAGCCTCTGCCTTCAGCTCAGGTCATGATCTCAGGGTCCTGGGATCGAGCCCTGCATGGGGCTCTCTGCTCGGCGGGAAGCCTGCTTCCTCCTCTCTCTCTCTGTCTGCCTCTCTGTCTGCCTCTCTGTCTACTTGTGATTTCTGTCTATCAAATAAATAAATAAAATCTTAAAAAAAAAGTTTCTCTTAAAACTCTGTTATTCCTATATACTATTAATTAAAAGTGTGCATTTTTGTATGTGAGATTTCATAAACCTATTTTTTTCTTACTCTTCCTCTTTTTAGCTCCTGGTTTCCTGGCTCAGGGAAAGTAATTATTTTGTAGTCTGAGATGTAGGTCAGTCAGATGCATGTTATAAATGACTTTGCTCTCAGTCTCAGATACTCTGTGCATCTCCTACTTTATAGACATAAAAATATGAAATAGAAATTATATTTGAAAATGACATGTTAGACTTTAATAATGTTTTTCTGCTTCCTTTTAGAACTGGTGAGTCTTTTCAGATGACTAAAGAGGCTTATGAAGATCCTGAAGTTACTGGAAGGAATCGCTACAAATATTTTGAAAGGTAAAAAGTAATTACTAATGAAAATGAGCCCTGATATTATTAGAAAATGTCTTTTATGATAATATTAGCAGCTATCAGTTTTGAGTGCATGCAGTGTGTCAGGTACCAGTTTAAGTGCTTTATATCTATAATGATTTTTTTTTAGATTATATTTTTAAGTAATCTCTACACCCAATGAGGGGCTCTAGCTCACAACCCCAAGATCAGTAGTTGCATGCTCTACCAAGTGAGCGAGGCAGGCACTCTATATAATGAATTTTTATAACAGAATTGTAGGATAAGATAGATTATCCCTCTTTATCAATAAGGAAGCTGAGACCAAGAGAGGAAAAATAAATTGCTTGAAGTCTCTTAAGTTAGCAAGTGGCAGATCTGGGATTCCAGCTAAATCTGCCTAATATCAGAGGTACTAGCTGTAAGAAAGAATGTAAATTTGAGAACAAAACGAAGTCATGGAATCAAATGAGATATAGCAGATTCATCATGACAGTCATAGTACAGGGGAAATTGTTATAAGTGGACAAATAGGCGACATTCACTGTCTTTGTGTGAGTGTTGTCAAAACCAACGTGGTCGAAAGTTTCACTTCACTTCATTTGTGATCAATATTCATGTGATAATCCTGTAGTTGGGTTAAAATAAAATGAGGATCTCTCTATAGGTCTTATGTGGTTAGAAAAACAGTCTAGATGCCATATGTACATAAGCTTTCTTGAGAACGTAAATTTGTTACCCACATTGTTATTTGTGAGCAACCTCTTTAGAGAAGTTTTATAATGCTGACTTTTTAGAGAAGTGTTAAATTTTCAACATAGTACACTCAATTCCTAGACTTTCTGGGGGTAGTTTTTAAAACTAAGTCATTGCGAATTTCACAATGTCTCAGGAAACTGAAAAAGTTGCTGAGAGCGGATGACCAGCTGAAGCCCAGGTATAAGGCATTGCTTCTGAAACTGTGGCTTGTTTACCATCTGCAGGGAAAACACTGGAATGTTTATTACAAATGCAGATTCATTAGCTCTATTTTAAATCTGCTGGATCTCCTGGGCTAGACTTGGTAATTAGCATTTTAAACAAAATCTCCCCCACTCTCCAGTGATTTTGTGTTTGTCCAGGTTTGAGGATTACCAATACGGGATATTCAAGCTCACTGATTTTAAGGGACTAATATGAGAGTTGGAATAAAGCCCAGAGAGCACACAATGAAAAAGTCCCACATGTTTTCGTTTGTCTTTCTCCACCAGACCTTTCCTTCCATTTCAACAGATGCCATTCAATGTTGTTTTTGCAGCAACCAAGTAAGTAACTGTTATTTTACAACTTTTTTTTCTAGTTTATTTTTTGTTTGTTCCCATATTTGTTTCCAGAAGATAGTTCTCTAAATCAACATTTTTCAAATTCCAGATCACAAATCATTAGAAAGTCATGACATATTTTAGTGGGTCATGAATAACATTTTAGAAAATGAAATAGAAAATAACCAAAAGCATCAGATACATTGAGGGTAAATTGCCTTTTTGCTAATAATTTCTGTTTTGGGTATATAGATATATATAGATATATACATATGTTCATATGTAATGATTATGATGTAAAATGTAAATTGCCTTTTTGCTAATAATTTCTGTTTTGGATATATAGATATATATAGATATATAATATGTTCATATGTAATGATTATGATGTAAAATGTATTTCTTATTACACATTTTGGTAAAAATAAAAGTTAAAAAATGCTTTAAATATCCTCTTTGCTTCCCTGAAGCACACACTTATTTGGCAACAGCTTTTCAGCATTTTATCAAGAAAAGTAATCAGTTATGTAATAGTTTTTGAGTAATGGAACTTCATAATTTAATAATCATCTAATCTACACAAGGTTATTTAATATACAAAGATCAACAAAACATGGTTTTTGTCCCACAGAGGAATGGCCCAACGTGACAGAGAAGTAAAAGACAAGGGCCAAAGCTGGGATGAATGTGCAGTTCTCCAGCATTGTTTTAGGGCTGTACTGTTTTGCTCTACTGTTTCCTGCATTAGTATAACTTAATGTGTGTATAAGAGAAATAATTGAAATTATCAGGAAAAGAAACCTTTCTTAAAGTCTCAGATTTCTGAACAGAAATTTAGATAGGGCTTGGCTTTCAAACAAGTATTTAAAGGATACCCTAATGATATAGCATTTTATGAATAGATGTTAGCAAATACCTGTAATCCTCAAGATAAGTGCCAGTTATGATCCCAATTCTCTGAGTATTTATTTATTTATTTTTAAAGATTATTTATTTATTTATTAGGGAGTGCATGAGTAGGGGGGGCGGTTGGCAGACTCCCCACTGAGCAGGGAGCCTGGCATAGAGCTTGATCCCAAGATCACGATCTGAACCAAAGGCAGATGCTTAACTGACTGAGCCACCCAGGTGCCCCTCTCCTCTGATTTTTTAAGACTATGCATGGATACTTTTGGCTCTTATACAGATAGAGAATAGATTTCTTGCTCTTCCCCTAGAGAGAGCAACTTTGTGTGGTGTCAGTTTACTTGGGGATGGCTATAGACTTGTTTCCAGGGAAATGCTCTGTATGAGAAAGGGGGAACACATGAGATTGGGAGATCCCTATAGATATCTTTGATAATTCTTTAAAAACAGGCTTAGTGGATCACCTACTTTGGAGGTAATATTTACGTCAGGTCTAACAGTTGTTTAATTGCGGGGAGTTCCGGGTTGACAGCAATGAACACTAAGCCTCTTCTTTTCTAAATAACTGTGACGTGAGAGTGTCCATGTAAGAATTAAACCATAACAGTTGACATCTTAGATACTCTCTTAGAAGTTTTTAAGGAATTAATCAGTATCCCTGAATGCAGTCAGCTCCGGGATTCTGGCAGGGTTGAATTTCTGAACAATGAGGATAATTCACCTGACGTTAGCAGGGATGGAATTGTCTGGGGGACCAGCTGGCCTTCTCCAGCCCTCCATGGTTGACTGTGGACTCTTTACTTTGGACTCATGTAAGCATGAGTCCATGAGTCTTGGTGAAAAGAATAAAAAGTTAACATTTTTAAAAAGTTCAGTGGCAGTTTTTAGTTCCACATGTAAGGAGCTTGGCAGCTGCCATCTGTCCTATCAACAAGTAAAAAGCAGAACAACTGAAAAAGCAACAACTTTTCTTGGATCTGTAAGAAAGGGGAGGATTCAGGGCAAACTGCTGCCCTAAGATTAGAGTCAGACAGGTTACGAGGAGGCATGGGTTCCCAGAATCCCAGAGATTCATGAGTGGAAGCGACTCCAGAAACCAATTCCAGATAGGAAAACCTGAATGATGACTGATGAATTGCAGGGTGCCTGGGTGGCTCAGTTGTTAAGTGTCTGCCTTCGGCTCAGGTCATGATCCCAGGGTCCTGGGATCGAGCCCCACATTGGGCTCCCTGCTCAGCGGGGATCCTGCTTCCTCCTCTCTCTCCTCTGCCTGCTTCTCTGCCTACTTGTGAACTCTGTCTGTCAAAGAAATAAATAAATTCTTTAAAAAAATGGAATAAATGAAGGTAAAATGAAAAGTTTTATTTTTTTAATCTAACAGTTGGCAGTTTGTTCAAAATAACAGCAACAATGTATTTGGAAACATAGTTGATACACAGTAGACTCTTGAAAATATGGAGGTTAAGGGTATTGACCCTGGCATACTGAAAATCCATGCATAACTTTTGACTTCCCCAAAACTTAACTACTCATAGCCTACTGTTGACTGGAAGGCTTACCAATAATATAAACAGTCAGTTAACACATACATATTTTGTGTGTTGTATATATTATGTACTATATTTTTTACAATAAAACTAGAGGAAAATGTTAAGAAAATCATAACAGAAAATAGATTTACAGTACTGTACTGTATTTATGAAAAAAAAAATCCATGTATAGATGGATCTATGTGATTAAAACCTGTGTTGTTCAGGGTTCAACTGTGAGTGTGAGTGTGTGTGTGTGTGTGTGTTTGCTTATGTATGCTTATATATAAATAAAATGACAGCAATGATAAGTGAAAGAAAAGAATTAGGATTATTTTGTTATTATATAAAGTGTGTACACTACCCATGAAGGAACATAATGTTATTTGAAAATGGACTTGGATTAGTTTTAAATATATATTGCAAGGTCTGGAGCAACCACTAAAAAAAGTAAAAAAGGAAGTATAACTAATAATACTTAATAAAAAAGATAAAGTGAAATCATATAAAATGTTCAACTAAAGCCATAAAAAGCAGAAATATGGTAGAAAACAAAATAAGAACAAAAAACAAGAACAACAAATAGAAAATGGTAACAAATATAGTAGACTTTAATCCAAATATATCAACAATCACTCTGACCATCAGTGGTCTAAATGCGCCAATTAAAAGACAGATATAGTCAGGATGGATCAAAAAACAAGAACCAACTATATACTGTCAATAAGAAATCCACTTTATTTTTTTATTTTATTCAGTTTTAAAATTTTTCAGTATAGTTAACATACAATGTTATATTAGTTTCACTGTACAGTGTAGTGATACAACAGTTCTATACACTACTCATTGTTCAGCATAATAAATGTACTATTTAATCCCCATGATTTATTTCACCCATACCCCCAGCTACCTCCCCTCTGGTAACTACCAATTTGTGCTCAACAGTTAAAAGAGTCTATTTCTTGTTCTCTTTATCTCTCTTTTTTTAAAAGAAACCCACTTTAACTATAAAGACACTTATAGATTCTTTTTAAGATTTTATTTTTAATGTTGGGGCACCTGGGTAGCTCAATGGATAAAGCCTCTGCCTTCAGCTCAGGTCATGATCTCAGGGTCCTGAGGTCGAGCCCCATATTAGGCTCTCTGCTCAGCAGGGAGCCTGCTTCCTTCCCCACCCCCTGCCTTCCTCTCTGCCTGCTTGTGATCTCTGTCTGTCAAATAAATAAATAAAATCTTTAAAAAAAATTATTTTTAATGTCTACTCCCAGTGTAGGGCTTGAACTCGCATCCCCAAGATCTAAGAGTTGCTCTATTGACTGAGCCAGCCAGGTGCCCCAAGACACTTATAGATTAAATGGGTGGAGAAAAATACATTATGCCAATACTAATTAAAAGAAAGCTACAGTAGTTATACTAATTTCAAAAAGAGCAGGAAGATTATCAGGGGTAAAGAGAGGCATTATGTAATGATAAGAGGCTCAGTTCTCCAGAAAGACATACATTCTTTCACGTGTATGCACCTAACAATAGAATGTCAAACTACATAAGGCAAAAACTAATAGAATTACAATAAGATATGGATGAATCCATTATCATAGTTGGAGACTTTAACACCCTTCCAGCAGAAATGGACACATCTAGCAGGCAACAAATCAGTAAGGCCCTAGTTGAACTCAACAACACCATCAATCAACTGGATGTAATTGATATCTACAGATTAGTTTGTCCAACAACAGCATAATACATATTCTTCTCAAGTTCACATGGAACATTCACCATGATAGACTACATTCTGGGCCATAAAACACAATTTAACAAATGTGAAAGAATAGAAATCATACAGTGTCTGCTCTCAGACCACAATGGAACTAAACCAGAAACTAGTAACAGAAGGGATAACAGAATTCCTGAATATGTAGAGATTAAATGATACATTTCTAAATAACACAAAGGAGAAAGAAGAAATCTCCACAGAAATTGAAAAATATTTTGAGCTTCATGAAAATGACAATACAGTTTATCAGAATTTGTGGAGTACATTGAAAGCAGTGTTCAGAGGGAAATTTATAGCATTGAACTTATGTATTAGAAAAGAACTAAAACCAGTCATCTAAGCTTTCACCTTAGGAAACTAGGAAAGAAGAACAAATTAAATCCAAAGCAAAAGAAAGGAAACAATAAGAATTAGAGCATAAATCAATGGAATTGATCAAGGAAATCAATAGAAAAAAGTCAGTGAAGCCAAGAGCTGGTTCGTCAACAAGATCACTAAAATTGATACCTATAGCTGGGATAACTGAAAAAAACAAACAAACAAAAAAAAAAACAACGAGATGACACAATTTGCTAATATCAGAAATGAAAACAAGGACCTCACTACAGATTTTATTGATGTTAAAAACATAAAGGAATACTATGAATAACAATACCTGCAAATTTGGTAACCTAGATGAAAAGACTAATTTCTTGATGGACACCTGGGTGGCTCAGATGGTTAAGCGTCTACCTTTGGCTCAGGTAATGATTTCCAGGTCATTGGAATCAAGCCCCATGTTGGGCTCCTGGGAT